CCATCAATTGGCTGGGCCGTCATCGTATCCGCTATCTCCTCTCGAACAGCAAGCAAGTATTCAACACCCCGACTATGTTGAGTTGGGAGACTCAAAGCATCTTCTCTCCTTTTCCAATACCACTTTCCTAGTTTCTCCCTTATGAACTCCAGCAGAAACTTAATCGGAAATCCTCTAGCTCGCTTCAGTGCAGAATTAACAGATTCAGCGATGTTGCTTGTTTTTATGTTGTACCTCTCCCCCTGACAATAAACCCTTGTCCATAGGCTGACGTCGGCATTCACCAAATACGTTGCAAGGTCCGGGGTTGCACTATTTATCTCAGCCATGTACCGGTTAAAATCTGAAACCGTATGAGCATAAGCAGCACCTTTCACCAAGTACAAGAGATGTTTCCCTTTATACTTTTTGACAATGTTTTCTTGAAGGTGATAATAACATATTCCTCTCACTGCCCAAGGAAACACCTTATCACACGCACTTATAATGGTCGGATGCCGGTCGGAGACTATCACGAGAGGCTGGTCATCAGATATACAAGTAGCCAATTTTGTGAAAAACCATTCCCAAGAAGGTTCATCTTCAGCATCTACGATCCCAAAAGCCAATGGAAATATCTGAAAATTCCCATCTTGTGCGGCTGCAACCAACATAGTACCCTCATACTTCCCACTTAGGTGAGTCCCATCCNATTATAGGTCGTCTGGACGACTAAACAACACTAGATGACTTAAAGTTAAGTCGTCCAGACGACTACGTAACAGTGGACGACTAAACAACACTAGACGACTTAAATCTAGGTCGTCTGGACGACTAATCAACCGGTTTCTTACATTGTGGTTTCGCATGGCCAGTTTCCTTGCAGTTTGAGCATCTATAAACCCTGTGTTACTACCTGGGTTTGCGTCCTTTCATCCTGGATAGCTCCAACCAAGATTGCCATCTTGATTTCTTCTGTCTCCCCGGACCACGCTTTACCTCAGGAGGGAAGCATGTGCGTTCCTCAACTTGTTGTCCAGCACAAGGAAATATATTCTCTGTGTATCCTCCAAACAAATACTCCTTTGAGTACACTGGATGTACAAGTGTGGATATATGCAAACGCGCAAATGTACCAGCAGCTATAGCATGAGAACAAGGTATTTTCTCCACTTGGTAGACACCACAATCACACTTTCCATGTTCCAAATCAACCACACAGTCCATTTTGCCACCTTTCACAAAGAATCGCCAACCATCA